ATTATGAATTGGCATAATAATTTTAATAATTTGTTAATGTGTAATCAATTTCAATGATTTAGTTAAGAGATTTATTATATTTGTGGCAAATATCCGGCAGTCAATCAAAATTTGAATATTACCGTATATTAAATACTTATTAATATGAAGTGGTTATTTAATAATCAAGGTATTTTTAAAGTATAGACTTTATAATATAAATATTATTAAAATACACTGTATTTGACTAACATATAAATAGTTTTTAATTATAACACAAGTCATAGATGTGATAAGTACTAACAAGTAAATTTTGACCCCATGTATTTTAAATAAATAATATTAGCATGTATAAATAAATGAATATTTTTATTATTTTAATTGATGTTTAATAGTTAATATAAATATCAACAAAAAATCACACTAAAAATAGAAATTTTAATATTTTTTATATTAATATAATATATGAATTTTAATCTAAAAGACTATTCTTAGAGGTAGAAAACAATGTTAAAACTCATTTATGACATTAAACTTAAGCATTGAAAAATGTATTTCAACGCATTGAAAAACATTTATTTATGTGGTTTTTATATTAAATGCTAGCAAAAACTATGAGTGAGTTTTAACATTGAGTTGTATGGCTAAGAATAGTTTTCTAGAATAAAAATCATATAATCTATACTATTTTACATAAGATACTAAATATATAATAATTATTAAAATCTATATTTTACCAAAAAACAAGAAAATAAAACAAACTAACCTCTAAATTACATAACAATAACTACACTAATATTATTAATATTCACTGTTGAGCATTACACCACGGATGATGCTCAATCAAATCCACTTTAATGCGGTCCGATTCACTACTTAACCACATTTTTCTTAGTAAATCCTTAAGGTTGGAATCGAGTCCTTGTAATACTTTCTTCAGGTGTTTGTCACTATTCATTCGCTCATATATACGTTGGGGTCGACCCACTTCGCAGCCGAAAGCGTAATCATTCTTTACGATATAGTATAGGAGAACGCCAAGTGACCAGATGTCTGCAGAATACGGGTTGTAGAGATAGGACATAGTCACTTGTGGTGAGCGAAAGGCCTCGGTATTAACCATTGTTTTGGTGAGATTCACTTCATTCGTTGCCTCATTAATTGAATACTTGGCGAAAGTAAAATCCGTTAACTAATTATAAATATTATACATATAATATATTAATAATTTCATAATAAAAATAAAATAAAAATGTAATATAAAAATATATTTTTACCAGAACTTGCGATTTGTCCTCATTTAATAATACATTATTTGGCTTTAGGTCGCGATGAGCTACCCTATGGTCGAGATGTAAACATTTGACGGCCGATATTAACTGCAAAAACCATTTGCGGGCAGTGGTCACCGGTTGGGCGCCATTGGCTTCGATGTAATCCCAAAGGTCGCCACCCGCACAGAAATCCATGATTACAAACACAGTTTGGTGAGCCTTATAAACGCGGTGAATACCAACAATATTATTGTGGTGTACAGTTATTAGTGCCGCCAATTCTTGAGCCAAATATTGAATGTTATTCGCTTTGATTGCCATTATTTTGACCGCTTTAGTAGTTGTAGTCCCGTTAGTGAGTGACTCTGTTATGCGAAACACTCGCCCAAAAGTCCCGGCGCCCAAAAATTTGTCCGCTTTATAGTTATGAAACTTAAGGTCAGCCACTATTTGAGCACTTAATTTATCTTCACTTTCTGTTGTGGAAGTCATTATAAGGCTATTAATTGAATTATAAATTAATAATATATTAATTTTTATATTAAATAATAATACATTTATTATTACTTACATTTCAATTATTATTAATGAAAAATAACAGCAAATAACAAAATTTTTTCACAAACTTATATAAAAAGAGCACTTATTATCAAATTATTATAATGTGTTATATAAAGAGACAGCAATAAACTTTTACAAAGTATTTACTAACATATATAAATCACACTAAAAATAATAAAATAACAAATATATATTTGTTAACAAAACACAAATATATACGGATTAAACTTATAATTATAACTGTATTAATGTTTTGCTAATGTATTATCATTTATAACTTAAAATCTTATCATTTTAATGGAAATCAAACAACAGTTTACTATAACTGATATAAAATAAAAAATCCTTTATTTGAATTGCGCGCGAATTTTTCATTATTAATGGTCATTATTTTTAATCATATGCTATGCGTGCTAACAATGTAATTAGTTAAAACTGAATAAAATTACTGAACAATTAGGTAACCACGTGCATATAGCAATTATTAATATTATTTTTAATGAATTAATAATTTACAAAATGGTTTACAAATCATATATTAAGTAATATATCCTAAGTATTAACCAATATATATATTTTAAATAAAATCTTCATAGCTTAATTATAAATGGTCAATGGTCATATATATTTTATATAAATACATTCAATTAGTGCTAGAAGAATAATTATTTATATTACAAATTTAGTGTCAAATAGGGAAACCAAAAAATGAGTCATATAATATGCAGACTATACAAAAACCATGAATTAGTCAAAGAATCATAGCACAACTAATGGATTAAAATGAACAAATAGTTGTAATAGTCATTATTGTGTTCAAAATTATTAAAAAAAAGCATCCAAAAAGAATCCTAACGGTTTCCCTAGTGTCAAATTAATAAGTAAAGTTTATTTATATTATATACTAAGAAGCGGCAGAACTTTTATTTGTAATGAATGATGATACAGTAATTTGGGTACTATTAAACTAATCATTACCTGCCCCTCAATATAAGTGAATGGTTTAAAGCGTAAATTATTTTTCTTTAATATAACTGTGAATCACAAATTTCATTAAACCCCATCACATATTACTGCACATTATATATGACTAAAATACTATTTGTACACCTAGATGTGCACAAAACCTCTTGCTATGTTAATTATGTTATTTTTATAGTCTATAAATAAATTCAATTTTGGTTAATATGTACGCCAAGTCTTGTTGAAGCGAGTGAATGGTCAATACCTGCCAACCCATATATAGCGGGTTCTGATACCGACAAAACACCCCTAACTATATGTCGACACAAACACAACGACGATGTGATTGCAGGCAGAGCTGACAAAGTGATCGGTTGTGTCCTCACGTTTGGTGGCCGAGAGGTGACCATCAAAGGCACCGATGAGTGACACGTATTAGTGGCCGACAATGTCGAGTGGGTTCCCCGACACGGGGAGGACCCGGTCCCGGCCAATGCTGTTGTAGTCGGTAATAAGGGTCACCCGAATACAGAGACTTATGTCGGACGTTGCGGTACACACGGGGCTGAACTCGTGGGCAAAATTAATTATAAATTTTATTACGGTTACCATGGTGCTGAGGTTGCCGATTGTATTAACCACGAGGTTTTGGTTTGCATATAATTAATGTATTAAATTCAAAATTGAATAAATAAATATTGTTGTTTTTTAAACTATTTTAGTTACATCATTGAAAAAAGAATAAAATTATGTATTTGAAATATTGGGCTACAATTATTGCTGCAAAATTAGCCGGTGCTGTTATAGTCGATAACAAAGCACATTACTTTGGATAGTGCTGTACAAACAAACTGAACTATGTTGGTTAAATTTTATTTCCAATTAAACTTAACCACGAGGTTTCGTTCTTAAATTGAGTTATATACTAAATTAATTAATATTATGGCACATTAAACCATCTCGATGTAGACTCGGTTTAAGCAACCAAATTTTTTCATGCCACTGTATTCCACCTCGGTCATTAAATGGCACACTTACCCATCTCGATATTTGCCCAAAATAATTCGCTTCACCTTTAACACCATCGCATACCACTTAGGAGTTTCAGATGGCACCTTAGAGTATTTCCATGTTTATATAGCTTAATATGCATTACTTTCCACTCTAATGCATTCCACCTCTGACTTTCAATAGAACCCTCGATTATCTCGATATTATTTCGATTTTAGCTAGCAATTTTTTTCGTGCCACTGCATTCCACCTAGGACATTCAATGGTACATTTTCATACCTCGATAGGTACCCAAAATAATTTGATTCATCTTACATTCCATCGCATACCACCTAGGTTTCAAACACCACCACTAAAATTAAATCATACAACAAATTTATGGCCGATTTATCCTATCGCTGAAAGTTCCAGGTTTTCAAATATTTGATAACATAAATGGAGTATAATTTTAATGTGTACATTTTAATTTTAAAATGTAAAAAATCAAATAAATCAATTTTATATTCACATAATTAAACAATTATGAAATTATTAATTCAATTAGTTTAATAAGTTGATTAAATTATTAAATAGAACTTAGTCAAATAAAAGTTATTTTTAAAACACCAAGCATTTGTCGACATATTATTATAAAACTACAATCTATTTACCTATAGGTAATAGTTTACATACATTATATGACCCATGAAAAGCCATAACCAGCTTAACTTTTTTTTATTAAACTTTACATATTTGATGCTAGTCACTTTATAATGGTTGATTCAATGGTTGAATTCAATACTAAAGTTATGATTAAACCCAATGAAAAAAGTTTAGCTGGTTATGGCTTTTCATTGGTCATATTATCTAGATAATATGAGAGCTAGGCGATCATGGGGAACCTAGCAGCTAATGTAACAATAAAATAATTTAAAGCCTTGCTATTTTAAAAGTACAAATCCAATTTTAATTATCAGTATATAAAATTAGTCATAATTGATAGTAAAAAAATACAAATTTTTAGTTTTTAAAAATTCCAATTGTAAACAATATTTTAAACTTAAATTCTAATTTTATGTGCAAAAATTATGCTTAAAATTAAAATATTAAAATTCAAAAAAATTATATCATTATATTCTTATTTTGAACTAATTTTATATACTGATACTTAAAATTGAATAAGTATTTTTTAAATGGCAAGGCTTTAAAATATGATATTTTTACCTATTTAATATGAGTATACTCTGATTCTTTACATTTATAGGAAAAATTTTGATACATATCTTAAATTAAATTTCATTTTGTACAATTTGATATATAAATTGTTAAAATTGGTCCAGTACTTTTTGAGTTATAACTACTGCTCATTGTCCATAGGAAATACATTTGCTGCTAGGTTCCCCATGATCGCCTAGCTCTCATATGTAAGTTAATTCATATTATAGTAATGATATAACAACCAAACCTCTGTTCATTATAATAATTACTAATATCAAAACAATTACATATTTGTTCTAACCATAACCTTTCTATGTCACGGTCAGACCCTCGAGTTGTATCTGTTTTACCTGTTTAAAAGTAAATTACAACAATAACTAAGTTATAACCGAATAATTATTTTATCAAATTAATAAATATGTTGCTATCAATTATTTGTTTAGATTACAGGTTTTATAACAAGTTTATTTAATGAACTTTCTAATGATAAACTTATTAATTTACAACAATTTAAGCATAAATTATTTAAAAATTATTGTTATTTTTAAATTATCTTTTAATTATTATATTAATTTTTAAATTCGTAAAGTTTGAATTCTAATTTAATTAATTAAAAAATTTAAACAATATAAATTAATCAAAAAATACTACTCACTTATTAAGGAACAAATTTTAAAATTAAAATGCTTAAAATATAGTAGATAATAAATTGTAATGTTTATATTTACCATAACTAATTAAAATTAATGACTACTCTCGGTAATTATATTTTCATCAAAATATAAAAATAGAGAAGTTTTCATAAACCATATATTGATTAGATTACATTTATTAATTATTTCTCCATCAATGATATACATTAATTACAGCTTAATGTTTAACTTTTAAATAATAAATTATATAAAAAGCATATTAATTTACAAAAAAGATTAAAACTTAAAAATAATTTAAAATAATCATTATCTATTTTTCAATAACAATTAGGCCTTAATTTTTTGAATGAGCAATTCGAAAAATGCGCTCGACCAAAAGTATCATGGCAAATTGACCCGTTTGGTGCCTCACTGGAGATGCCCTCCCTATACGCACAGATGGGTTTTGATACCACAGAGGCCCCGACCATGGAGAGTACATCTGGAATGTGTCGCCCGACCTAAACACACGCATATTTACCACGATATTACACGCTCACTATAGCGGACCAGGTGGATTTAATTTTGAAAATGGCAACAACATGATCAACGACTCGAACGTGCAAGATAAAACCAACAAGTTTATCGAGAATGCTCGCAACTGGAATAAAGACTATGGTAATATTAATCACGTGTTGATAACAATAGGCGATGATTTTCAGTACAAAACAGCAAACTTTTGGTTTGAAAACATGGATCGTATGATTAAGGAGGCGAAGGCCCGACACCCGGACGTTAACCTCATGTATTCGTCGCCCAATTGTTACGTGAAAGCAGTGAATAATTTGAACCATACGTTTGATGAGCGCAATGTTGATTACCTGTCCTATTGGGTGGGCTATTACGCCAATAGACTGGCGCTTAAGTACCAGGATCGGTTGACTAACAATATTCTTCAGGTTAGAAATTAATATAAAATATAATGTTTTTATGCTTATAAAAGTGTATAATATTTTTACATTTAAATTAGACTTGTTAGAAATAGTTCTACGTGAAAAAATTATTAGTTACAAAATATAATCTTTTCCGAAGTCATTGAGACCAAATTAATTTAATTTGCAGTACTATGGTCATTTAATAATACATTAACGGATTATATTACAGTTCCTTAAATAAATTTATAAATATAAAAATTATACTTAAATTTATAGTAAAATAACAAATTATTATGTATAAATTATATAAGTTAAAATTTAATATCAATAATAAATATTTGTTAAATATTTTATTTTATGATGATAATTGTTATTTTAACCGTATAGGCCGGTAAACAAATGTCTGTATTGGCCCGTTTGGACCCCTCAAAAACTACCGCATACATGGATGAGGCGCGTAATGAGGTCGCAGTAATGACTCACCATGACGCTATTACCGGCACCTCACCCCAGGCCACGTCTGATGACTACACCAGTCGTCTACAGAGTGGATACGCGGCCGCCAAACAAGTCATACGTAAGGCTTATAGTTATCTCAAATCCAAGGACTCGGAGAAAAAGGTGGTCTTAAACGACGTTTACTGCGATTTTCTAATATAACGGA